TGAATATATTGTAATGATGGCATACGTATTCTACGAAACTAGTTTCAATGATCCAATCGTCAAACTTGTTTGTTTATACTTCGAGATCATAAACGTCAAAAATAAAAAAAAATAAACATTCAGATATCAAGTAATATGACAAACCTTTTCGACGGTTATAAACGAAAAATCACGATTTAACGGTTATTTCAATTTCGATTTTGAATATAATGAACTAATTCGATCGTCAATTTAAAATATATATTTTCTAACAAAAACCCAATCCGAACTACACTAATATATTTTTATAACAAAAATTCGATCCGAATTAAAATATTAAATTTAAAGCTACTTAATAAATATATATACAGTCCGGACAAAAAATAAATATATATACAATTTAATTTCTTACGTGTTATGCATACAAAATATAAAACAAAAATAAATTGGTTTAGGCGACGAAATATTTGGATTACATCATGCAAAGATTTTAAAAAATAAATTTTTTATTTTATTTATTTTTGTAAAGACTTTGCGCGACGAAACACACTTCATCGCTCAAGACTTTGTGCAACGAAGTTTATTTTTTCGTCGCTCAAACTTTTGCGCGAGGAAAAATATGTTGGTCGCGCAAAGTTTTGTGCAACAAATTTATTGTTTCATCACGCAAATGTTTGCGCGATGAAAAATATGTTGGTTGTGCAAAGTTTTGTGTGACAAATTTATTGTTTCGTTGCGCAAACCTTTGCACAACCAAAAATATGTTGGTCGCGCAAAGTCACTTTGAGCGACGATGATTTGTCATCGCGCAAAGAGGCTTTGTGCGTTGATGTGTGTTTCGTTGCGCAAAATTTAGTTGCGTAAGACTTTAAGCGACGAAGTTTTGAGTTTCGTCGCGCAAAGTGACTTTGAGAGACGAATTTTTTTTCGTCGCCCAAAATTTGGTGGCACAAGGGTTTTTTTTTACTAGTGTCAACAAACCGCAACACTGTATAACCATTCGCTCTTTGTTAGATTCATAACACGCTTCATCAACAACTACATAAAATTTTGATTTCCCAATTTCTTCACAAATCACATCCTTCACTTTAGTTGAAAAAACATGTAAATTTGTTTTTCTAAATTTGTGGTGATATGCAAGATGCATATTCTGGAGCTTTATCTAAGACAACTCCAACAAATTTTTCATTATATGAAGCTACTATTTCCAACATTTGAAGGAAATTTTCACAATTGATTGAATTCTATTTTTCATCATAGCCTCTAAAAGCACATCCTAGGAATGCTAGCCATCTGCTTGCTTCAATTGAGGCCTTAAGTCGTAGTCGATTGTTTGTGTTGATGCGTGAAATTCGCACAACCAATCAGAATGAGTCAAACCAAGTGAACCATTTCTCAAGAACGGACATGGTTGGGTTCTATCTTCTATATGCCTTTTGCCATTACTTGGAGTAGCTAAGTAAAGCTACTGCTCGTCCTTGTTCTTGAAAATAGTCAAGAGACGATCACTAAAAAGATGGTGGTGGGTTCACCTACCCTGCAATGCCTAAGTCAGTCTTTATTCGTCAAAGGAAGTTGCCAAAAGTATTGTACTCAAATATGAAGAAAGTTCAAATTACCCTTTTTAGGTGAAAAGTACTCTCCTTTTATACAAGGAAAGTTGGACCTCACTCTTGTTTTGTTTCAATGTAGGACTAAGGAATCGCTGATGATGTGGTATCTTTTGAGTGAGCGGTCAGTGGTGGCCTGACTTGTGTCCCTTCCTTTTTGTGGAAAGCATGTGTAAGTCGAATATTCTGTGAGCTTGGAATGGCATTTCAACTCCCCACATGTGGGCGTTTCAGGAGAGGTATTTGGGCGCTGGACGTGCTAGGCTTGGTTGTAGGAACCTTTGTTGGGCTTGATAGGCCTTCCTTACCATTCTGGGCCTCCTCAGGCGTAGGTAAGGCGTCTTATGTTAATTTTTAGTCATCTAGGCCCTTTTTGGTTAGTTTAATGAATATTTGGTATCAACAGTTTGCAATATATTAGGAAGAGTAATTATCAACAACTTTTTGTATATGATGACATTGATTCATCAAATTCAAGCATGATATCTCGAAATTTTATGAAGTGAGTTAGGATCTTTCCTTTCGGAATTTAGAAAAGCACAATTGTTTCCATCTCTAACTTTTTGCCAACTTTGAAATCCCTTAACAGGGAAAGCATGTTGTCCAGAATGCCTAGATGGTTTGTTAACAAGATAACACATATTAGACAAAAAGTTGCATGTTTCTTAGGAGAACATTCTAACCACAAAGAAAATAGTTTGAACCATGAACTTTGAAAGCCACGATGATGAGTTACTGGTCCTAATTTCGAATATACTTGGATAGTATAGATTGTTATGGACCTCCCTTAATGTAAGCTCATCGAATTTCATTACGTTGATTAACATGATGATTCCATATTTGTGAACGTAGTCATGGGTGACGCTCTAAAGAACTAATAGCAACTTCATTGTCATTAATTTCAATTTCTAGAGATCTAGAATGATTTTTAGAAACTATCCTCTAATTTATAGTAATAGGTTGGTAGTCCCCTTTTAATTATATTAATTTTATTGGTGGGACCCACAAATTACTTATTTTTTTTCACCGCTACATATTTAGGATAATATGTCTAATAAAATTTGAGAGTTTTCTCATATCTCTAGTGAATTTTAGATTGTGTTTTACTGTGTAAATAGGAGAAAATCAAAGAGTGAGAAAAGAGAGCTAGGATTCTTGTGAGAGCGAAGGGGGTTCTTGATTGTAACCAAATTTGTTCTTACATAATAGTGAATTTCTCCGATGGATCACCAAAAGGATGTAGGCATGAAGCTGAACCTCTATAAGTCTTTGTGTTCTTGTGTGTTTGCCTACTCTCTTCATGGTGTGTGTGTTTTATTCTTAAGGGGTTTGTGTGTGTGTCGTCGCATGATCCATCAACGACAAGGTCGTAGAGTGTTTTCACACAACACATTTTTCATGGAAATGAACAGAGGAGAGTTACCATCATAAGTTTCACCAATGTTAATCGTCAAATCGCAGACTTCAAAAAGGAGATGTCTGCCTACATGGATTAGTTCCAAGCAGGATTATATATGAAGGTTAGAGAAAACTATATGGCTTTTTTAGATGGGATGTGCACAAAGGGATTTTTCCGAAGCTATTCAATGTATACCAACCAAATTGACAGTTGTATCACCAAGTGATCCAAAAACCAAAAGAGGTTGTAATTCTAATTGAAGAAAAATATAATCATATCATGATTACCTCAAAATTGTTCGTGTCAAAAATTGTCACCTAATACGCAAATGTTTTAGATATCACTTTTATTTTAGGTATTGTGTATTCTTTTCGTTTTTAATTACTCATTCCAGCTATTGCATCATGTTGGGTGGTTGTTTGATACGAACCCCAAGGTCTGGAGACAATGAAGTATGCATACGATTTCCTGCATTTGTCCAAACAAAATTTAATAGAATACATTATTTCTTTTGTGTACTTGGTGGAAAAATAACCATCCCTTGCAACAAGGAACCAGTAGCAACACACAACTGAAAATTTTTGGAATTTTATTTTGGTGGTAGAAACCGTGTTCCTAGAAAGCGAAACCACGACATTTACTCAATTCAGCATTTAATGCACCATCCAAAACACCACCTATGGATGAGTGTTTCATTGCTAAGAAGAGGGTGGAGAGGGTGGCACAGTAAATTGAAAACCCTACATCAATTATATTTTAAATAAATAGTTTAACATGACAAGGAAAGAGGTAATTAATTAGTTTCCAAGTAATATTATACTCAAGGATCCCATTGGGTTTTGAAAACCCTAGCTAGCATAGGAGTGAAGATAGTCAATGATGATGAGGATGGTGGTGGGCGAGAGAGAGAGAGAGAGAGAGAGAGAGAGAGAGATGTGGAGAAAGACATAATAAAACCCATATGGGTGCCAGACAAGGTTGGTGAGAGATTAGAAGGGAATATTTGGGAGGATGTAAGGGGAATTAGAAGGTAAATAATTAACATGGGATTAGGGTTTGCGATGTGTACATATGGAAGCAAACAAAAAACCCTTTGTGGGTCTCTCACTCACTCATAAGGTCAATGGGTCTATCTTTTCAAATGTATATATCACACACACAATTTCAGAATCTCACGAGAATTTGGAAAACCCAGGGACAGAATTCTATAGTATAATTTATATGTACGTCCAATACGTAGACAAGAAATGAAAGTTGAAACCCATTATTTATATATTCTATTGACTGTACAGAAAAAACATATTTATATATAATAAAAAAATAATTTAGAGAGAGAAAAGCGAGAGGAGCGAAGAGGGTGGGGGAAAAGGAATCAGAGAAGAGGGTGTCTTTCTCTCTCTAACATTTTTTATCCCGTCGTCTCCGGAGAAGGGAAATCCAAAGTGACCATATTTTTTGGTGCATTTGATGGGTTTTGACCAGGGGGAGAGAGAGAGACCTTGTGCTCTTCTTTTCTTCTTCTTCTTAGTGTCATTTTCCAAGATATACTCTCGAGGATAACCAAACCCAAATCCTACAACTCATGACTTTCTCTCCTTCTCTCTCCCTCTTTTTCTCTCCATGACTTTTCTCTCTCTCTCTCTCTCTCTCTCTCTCTCTCTCTCTCTCTCTCTCTCTCTCTCTCTCTTCTGTTCCAGAAGATTGCTGTCTTTCTTTGCTTTAGCTCAATATCCCTTTTAAGTTCTACCTGCACTTAATTTGCTCTTCTTCAAAGCATACACACAGAACAAAGCTTTCTACATATTCTTTGGAAAAAAAGAAGCAAATCTCCCTCAAATATCTTGAAACTCGAAAGAAAGAAGAAACCCACTTGCCAATATCACCTCCAACTTTTTTTCTTTTTAATTGTTTTCTTCAACTTTCTTCATTCACAAGTTGGATTGAGCAGGGAAACAAAAAGCAGAAAAGAAAAGAGAGCCACTATTTGTTTTGGTAAAGTAGTGAATTAGAAAATGCCCTTGGAAGGGATTTTCATTGAACCCTCTTCAACAACTACTTCTCCACTTCCCGATCTTTCCCTTCACATTAGTCCTCCAAACACTTCCTCCTCCTCTTCATCAATTTTCAATACCACTTCTGGTGAACCCCAAATCTCCACCACTAATTCCCGAGCACACACTGAGCTCTCTCTAGGGAGACGCTTCACCGGTGGAGCTCATGAAGAACCACCACAAAAGCCTTATCATCATCATCAACAACAAAGTCTTCCTCTTTACCGTTCTAGCAATCACCTAAGTCACATAAACAATGGCGTTTCGCTACTCGATGTGTCATCATCGGAGGGTTTGAGGCCGATTAAAGGGATTCCGGTCTATCAAAACCGTCCATTCCCTTTTTTGCCGACGGAAAATATGATTCCAAGAGATCATCCCAAGGATTCCAAGATGTGCTTCTACCAAAGGCCTCCGCCTTCCTATAATCTTCCTTCTTTGCCTTCTGCCTCATGCTCCTCAAATACGCCGTCTACGCCTTATTTTGGAGGAGGCTTGGATCCTATGTCAAGGTTTAATGGGTTCTCATCAATGGATCCCTTCAAATCCAACAACCAGTTGCACCACCACCATCATCTTCATCATCTTCATCACAATCAGTATGGAATTGGAGGAGTTGGACCAATTTCTGAGGCTTCCCATCATGGTATCATGAGATCGAGGTTTTTGCCGAAGCTACCGACAAAACGAAGCATGAGAGCTCCGAGAATGCGGTGGACTAGCACCCTCCATGCTAGATTTGTTCATGCTGTTGAGCTTCTTGGTGGCCATGAAAGTAATAAATTAATAAAACCCTTTTTCTTCTGCAATTTTTTTTTTCATTTTTGCAAAATTCCCCTTTCTCCTCCTCCTCTTTTTTTTGTTCTTAATTTCATTTCCACTTCTTAATTTTTTTGATTTAGGAGCTACTCCAAAGTCAGTTCTTGAGCTCATGGATGTCAAGGATCTCACACTAGCTCATGTCAAAAGCCATTTACAGGTATGTACTCAATCTCTCTCTCTCTCTCTCTCTCTCTCTCTCTTTCTCACACACACACACACACACACACACACATATGTTCATGTGGGGCGGTGTTGCTCTATTACACGGGGCACAGTTACCAATGGGAGTGTGAATGAACGAATTAAAGAGTAGTGAGCTATAATATTGAGTCTGTCTGAAACTTCTGGATTAGACTGACTTCTCTCTGCTTTCAGAGAAAGATAAAATTTTAAACAAAAGAAGCAAATTTAAAAGATCCAAGTCTAAAACTAAAATACATAATAACAGACAAAAGTAGTCATCATTTCCCAATAATAAAGCTTCTTCTTAATTACTTCCTTATCCAACATCAACCTCGTGATTATTGTTTCGTCATCCATCGTTATTATTTAATGATGAAAACCAAGAAAATCCCAGAAGCCCAAGGAGAGAGAGAGAGAGAGAGAGAGAGAGAGAGAGAGAGAGAGATCTGAACTAATACAATGAGAATAGATATTTATATAATTTTTGTGTGTGTGTTTTAGGCTTTGAATTAATATTTTATTCTCCTTTAGCTTTCATTATTTTAATTATGGCCAATGAGTTTGCAGATGTATCGAACTGTTAAGACCACTGACAAGCCTGCAGCTTCTTCAGGTAATTCGTATTGCTAACTTTTTATTTTCTTTTTAGCAGCCTTAACTTTTTCTTACTTACCCTTCGCATTAATGGTTTACCGCACGCATACATTTGGAAAATCTTTTACTTTACCTGTGGTTGTTTGTTTTCAATTGTAAATAAACCCTATCATATGGATATATCATAGATATAATGTACATCTGCTGCAGTCAACATTTGACCATAAAGGCCTTATACATGCATTCATACATTATACATACATCATGTTATGTCATGTCATGTCATGATGATATACATAGTGATGTAGTTCATTATTACATGCATGAATTTTTTATTTTGAATTTTTTGTCAGACGGATCTGGTGAGGACGACATTCTCTCTCCAATTGGCAGTGCCACTGATCTTCATGGCCTGCGTAGTCCTCATCAATTTCCAGAGCAACGTGGACCGTCCGATCGGTCCTCGGTGCAGCCAGACCTCGACTACACTTCCAGCACCACTCTTTGGAGTAACTCTTCAAGGTAGAGTAGTCATCTCTCTCTCTCTCTCTCTCTCTCTCTCTCTCTCTAGAGTCATGTATGATGCCGTGAACTTAAGTTATATGAGTATAGAAGTATTATAATGCTTCCTTTTTTCTGCTTTTGCATGGTACCTCATAGCTTAGAAATGCAAAACCACGTCCACCCTTTTTTTAAAGAATAAAAGGGTTCCCAGGCCAAGCAGCTTTTGCTTTCTTTTCTCTGCTTGGTTTTCCTCTTTTCTCTTCTTCAAGATTTTCTTTACTGGTTAAGAAAAGTCACTTCTCAGAGACTGAACACAAATAATAATGGAACTAATTTTCGTTTTTATTTATTTATCTATATTCCTGCTCACATGATGAGATCTGTGGAGAGTTGATGCGTTTTAAAGAAAAATAAAGTAGCAAACACAATCAGAATCGTTAACCGGGATAAGAGAAAGCAACCATATATACTTACACTTTTTCTTTTTATTGACAAGTATTATAACTTGGAATTTGAACTGTTTTTGGGATTAATATTAAACTCTAGTTCTTATTCTCTCCACGAGGACATCACATATGTGACCAAAAAGGTCATTCTTCTTGCTCCCCTTTTTGCAAAGCTCGAATAACTATATGTTAATTTAATTATCGTACACGACCCTTGTTTATATACACCACTCATGTCATGTCATTTAGCTTTTCTCTTTTGATTAAGAATTAAGCTTAGACTAAACCAACACTCTATAATATATGCATGTGAGGTAATTACCATAAAAGAGTAGAGAGAGAAAATAATTAGGTCTAAGAGGGAGGAGGAAGATTAAATTACTTTACTATCAAAGGACACAAATGTCAATTCACCCTCTTTCGTTGGTAAGTATGCATAAAAATCACCCCCTAACGCGCCTCTCCGGCACAAGTTTAGGCATACTAACTCCCCTTGTTCAACAAGTGAAAGCTAAGTTGGATCAATTGCGTGTGGTTTTCTGAAGAAGCCGTATGTAGAGGATTTGGATGATTTCCATGCAGATTGTAGTCGTAGCCTTGTGTCTCTTGTGGTTTGAAACCTACCTTTCGGAAGTTTTCTCAATAGGCTTATGTGATGTTTCTTGCCATAACCCTATATGTTAGGTCAACCCCTAAATAGGTTAGTTAATGGTTTAATGACTTAATTTGTAATCTTCTTCTTTGGTTAGTGGATACATCGATCATTGCACATCGGAGTAGCTCAACCTGGGATGAACCACGTAAAGCTTATGTTTATCTGGTTGAGCTCGCGAGTTTAGTGTTTTGTTTTTGTTTGCCATCGTTTGTTAGTGTCATCTTCAAGGTAGGGAATTTTGTAGTAGAACAGGACTTACCTAACCTCACCTACATTTATTGTATACCAACGGGATGGGGAACCGAACACAAAACCTAGAGATGAATACTATATATTAACTGCTTAAGCTATAAGCCATTTGGACATTAACTACATTTCTTGAACTAGCAAATAATAGGCTCTCAAAGTAATTGATGATAATGCTACAAAAGCCTTGCCTCCAGCCATCATTTTTGAGGCCTGCAGTTCTATTCATCTCCTCCTAATCACAATCGAGAAATGGAAGAACATTTTGTTCATATCCGCACCTTTTAACAAAAAAATTCTAGGTTTTTGCATCCAAAAAAGCCTTGTCTTGCGCAATGACTTTGTTCTAACATGGTGCCTAAGAAAGCCTCTGGGAAAGCCAAAATCCACCTCTTGTTCAAACAACCATGTCTGTTCTGTCATCAAATCCTCCTATTCTCCCTCTTATTAGTCCACGTGTAGCTAGACCTTATTGAATCCCATATAATAAAGGATGATATCCAGCTCACCACGACTTGAACCTTTTTCTCAATTAATCACGGACCACATTTTCACTGCTATAAAAGTTATCCAAACTCAAATCCGAGGGAGTGGTTTTGGGTCACATTATTAAGAATTCAACAATTGGTCCCTATTAGGTTGCTATAGGCTTTTCATAGATAGTCGTAAAGTCAGAACCTCCCAATAATGTTTTTAATTGATGTTCTTATAGATAGAACATCAACAGAAGCTCCAGAATCTTTGCAGCTCAAACCTAAGTGGAAAACAACTTGGGAGTTGTTTGGAATTATTCGGAGAAGGTTCCTATATAGATTTTGCGCATGAAAACGTGAAGAAAAAGAGGATGATGGAGTGATGTTGTCAAGCCTACGCATGTCAAGAGTATGCTCGAACATGCAAAGAGAGTTCTGTTACATGTTCATGCATGTCGACGAGTGCTCAAGCGTCTATACTTTTGAGTTCCCTTTTTCCTTTGTGATGTGATTTTCAGTCCCGCGTTTGGTTCCTATTTCCTTCTAACATATACTTTTTCTCCCCCACGCTCTACTTTTTATCTCTTAACTTCTCTCATGCAAACAACTTCCCTCCATCACTACATTGCGTAGCATAGCATGCGTGGAGGTTTCTAGTATATATAATCCGTTCATCAAATCTTTGCAGTGTATATCTTTGAATTGATAAATTCTTCTATCTGGTTTATACGAAACGAACTACGAACAACAACAAGATAAACATCTATCTTTAAATGGAAGTCGCTTATGTTATGTTTTAGAAGAGTAAAATCTTCTAAACATACTGGAGGCCATGCTCTTTTCATAAACTTCAATAAATCCCTAAATTCCTTGGTTAAACATGCGCATTAGAAGCATTTTTTCAACATGCAACATTTTAACCATCACAAATTTGATCAGAATCTATTTTAGGATCTCTACATTCATTCGATTTGCACGCTAATCTCGAGTAATTTAAAAAGCTTCACAAGCTTGAGTTCTACGCACCATATGTATATATGCTCTCTGGAGCTTATTATTGGTTAATCATGGCCTATAGAGTATTAGATAATGCAAATTTTTTTTTCCTCTTCATATGATGGTTTACTTTTAGAGTTGGCATAATCTACAGACCCTATTATATATTGGGGAAATTTGTTCTATACGTTTATCGTTTGTGTTTCTGCAACTCAAAAAGTTATTAGGATTTGGTGCTAAAGTTGTTCTCTCCATGAAATTAATCTCAGTAGTAGAGAGGCGTTTCCGCATACTAGTTCTCATGACATGGACGGGTTAACACCAGTATCTTCCCAATTGCAGAAAATATCTGGTCATCAAATTCAGGTACAAATTCAATTATTTATTCATACTAATTTGATGAAGAGATCATAAATATTGAATTTTAATGAGAAAACAGAAGAAGTAATTTGTGATGTGGAATGAATTTAATGCATTTGCATTTCTTACAGGAATGTGATTCAACAACTCAACTGAAGAGCTATTTGGGATCTAATTTTGAGACCAGAAACCCAAGCTTGGAGTTCACGTTAGGCAGACCGGACTGGAATGGCAAACCACATGACTGATTCAATCTCTACCTCTTCGTTGTTTATTTTCTCTCTTGGAAACAGGAGTGTTTGGTTTATTTGAGTGGATAGAAATTCTTTTTAGGGTTGTTGTGAGTGGCTGGCTATATATATATATATATATATATATATAGCTGCAGTTTCATTAGTCCTTTAACTGGGAGAAGCGGGAAGAGAAGAGAAAGAAAAGAAAGATGTATAGAGGGGAAGAAAATTCACATAACAATGGTGGGTTAGTTCACCTCCTCAATTGCATATATCCCAGACCATCCACGTCATACTCAAGACTAGTGGGAATTTTCAGGGTGAGAACCTGGTGAACCCGGCTTCGGTTGCGTGTAAGCATGTCATTGTAAGTTGGAGAGGAAGATCATGATTTTTGTGTTTGATAAATGAGAGTTTACAACATCATACTTGTAAAAGTTGGCAATGGGGTTTGTCATAAAAAAAAAGAACAGAGTATGTATTTCCTCAAAGTTTGACCTTCGTCTTTTTTGTTGCCCAAATTCTTGTCTTTCCAAGATTTTCTTAATCCATGGCATTGACAATGCACATTTCTCTGTGGTGTAATTGGATAAAAACCAACATTTAAAAGCACTGAGAATGGATAACATTTGGAACTGAAACCCTATGCTCCTGACCAAGACCAATAAACCCGAAAAGAAAAAACGAGAAGAAAAAGAAGAAAGGATGCAGCATTTAGACTGAGTTTAATATATAGGACATGTTTATGTTCTATGTATTATTTAAGATCTGCAACACAAATATAATACAAAGGAGGGCGATATATAGTATTATTTAGTAATCTTATATGGACAAGAAAATGGGCAAACTTAAGAGTACCTATACAATACGCGTAGGAAGTCCTGCCTGGCCTATCCTGCGTAATAGCACCCAACAAATATGTATCAAAGTAGAGACAAGAAACGCCATCTAGAAAAAAACTCTCATAGATCTCAATAAGGTTCCTCAAACCAATAGGTACACGGCTTGTTCCCCCACTTTACCCTTCAATCTGACGACTGCTTGTGAGCATGCCTACCATAAGTGTAAGCTGAAATCGCTGAACCAGTCATGCTAAATGATTGCTTAGCAAGGCCCAGACTTTTCTTTGCTGCCAGCCACACGATCCAAAAGAATCCAATCCAGCCTAGTTAGGAAAAAAGAAATATAATAAGATCCTTGGTTTGATAAGAATTCGAATAAGATTCCACTCAAAAATATAGATCCCGCAACACCCATCAATGAGCTGGTATTATACAAGTTATGAATTTGATCGCAAAGCCTGGGAAATCGGGCACCAAGTGCAGCTATACGCAAATAATGTAGAATACACAGAATCAAGTGGCCAAAGTGGAACTAAGGTCAGTAGCTTGGTCTTTCTCAAGTAGGTAAACTAATTGTTTGTCTGCAGATGCAGATGCGGATGCAATTTTGTTATATATATAATGAGAGAGAAAGGATACCTCATTGGCAAGGTCATACATGCGACCATCGGCCACACAAGTAAAGAAGACTGATTGAACCCTTGAAGCCTTACACATTAACCTTGGTTGAAGCGGCATTCATTTTTTAATGGAGGTTGTTTTTATAAACTAATTACTTGCTTTCTTATTTAAATTAGCAGGTATTTTAATTTTAAAGGGCTTAAAGTTTAGCATCCGACCATCATTATAGTGGTAAGAACTGGGAAAAATAAATCAATAGAAATGGGACAAGTAATGGTCATATGGTCACGATGTTCTACCTGTAGTTATCAGAACAGCTGCAATCGCAGAAATTGTGGTGGCGGAAATGACAAAAACAGCTACTGATAATGCTCCAATATATATAGCTGTTACACAGGCAAAGAAAAGGGCCAAGAATCCTCCAGCAGCTGCCAAAGACAATAGAAGAGAGATGATTATTGCATTGATAGTCGCTGCCACGAAGAAAAGCATGAAGACCAGGAGGCCTGTCAAGGAAATAAGAGTAATGGTGCCAACCTGCAGAAAAAGACTCAGTTATTAACTCAAGTGTCTAAATGAAATTATCTGTGTTAATATCAAAGGATATCAATAGTCTAGTTGAAAAACTAGATTGGTTTCAAATCAAACTAACTAAAAAAATCCAAGAACAATAGGACAAATCAGTTGAGGAACAGTGCATGGTCTTTTGTGATTAATTATTATTCATTGAAGCATATTAAAACTGTATAACAACATCAGTACGAAATTGATGGATAATATGCGTGACATGAAATGCCTTAGATCCATAATACAGAAATTGCACCCAAAGGTCGACATCTTCATGTAAACAAACATGTTTCTCAACATATTCCAAACGATAAAAAGATAACAGAAGACAGAGAGCTTTCTGATGACAGAAATAGATTTATCATTCATGAACATAACTGCTCTGCAGGCTCCCAGTACAACAGAGATACAAGGGAAGCTAACTGCTAGCACAGCTAATAGAGAAAACACTCTTTACAACTGTAACTAAAACTAACACAGCTAATACAAACGAGGCATGATTGAGTGTTACAACTGCGCTGTGAACTCTTTTGTCCATCATGGCCCCTCAAATTGATGGCAAGGAAGCTACCATCCGTTTCCCATAAGAGGGACTCTAGCAGAAGCCAAAGCTTTGGGAAATATCTCAGTAAGTTGATCTTGACTGGACACATACTGAACACGGGAGATCCTTGCAGGTAACTTTTCCCCTAAGTATTGACACCTGTTTTAGTTCCAATTTCTTTTTCTACAACACATTCTTCCAATTGCTTTTATTCTTCCTCTACTCGACCTGATGCTTATTCTGATTCTTCTAATTCCTCAGCTCATTCTAATGTTACCTGCAGTTCCTATGGCAGATTAGCCAGCGTTTCATCCTTAGGATCTGATTTTGCAACTTCAGTCCCTGTGATTTGCATTGATTTGCCACCTTTCAATAAAAATCATGTACAGACAAGATTGAAATCTAGTATCTCCAAGAAAAAGGTTTTTGTAAGATTGAAATCTAGTATCTCAAATAAAATAAAATAAAATAATAAAAAAATTTGTAGCTTCTAAAGCACCAACTTCAACTATACAATGATTGCTAATTACTGAACCTACTTATCCTGCGGATGTTCCATTCCCCTAAATTAGCTGCTACAGCAGAGGAATTTAAATCCCTTCAGAAAAGGGAATTGGTGGTTGGTTCCTCTTCCACCCAACAGATATGTGGCGGTTTATAAAAGGGTTTACAGAGTTAAGTATAATGCAGATGGGAGTGTTCCTCGCTGCAAGGCTAGCCTTGTAACCAGGATATCGAGAAGAGGCTTGGAATTGGCTTTCAACAGAATGAATCAGGGCTGGAGGCCATACATCACACTATGCACCAGAAAGAACGGTGTAACAGACGTGGGCTTTGAAGCTGAAAAAGGAAGTCTGGAAAACAGACATGCTACCTAACAAACAGTATTTACAGCCAGAACTACAGTGACTAGAAACCTTATTCCAAGAGAGAATACTACAATCAAACAACATGCTATACAGACTGGAATCGAAGAATGTCCAAGCCTATAATGCCAGACTTGATGATCTATTCTTTGCTCAAGAAAAGCAGTAGTAGGAGAGGTGATCTATAAGTGGAATGCTGGGAAGCCAGAATTGGATACAATTCATTCCTACTCTGGCTTGTGTATAAGACTTTCCCTGATATTCTGTCTTGAAAATAAAATATATGAGCATAAAATTAAAAGCAGCTATTGCTATCATGGCAAAAATGACGAACAGATAAAAGCTTTGAAGCAATGGAAGGAACTTTAAGCATTTTATCTGGAGCATGCATGAAGTTGTCAAAGATATTGACCAATATGAGTAACGGAAGGTGCTGTCCATTGACAATTGCAACTGTGTCATCACCATCATATTTAATGCTACAGATTAGATGGATAAGATTATAGATGATTTGTGTCAGTCAACCAGTAATTAGCAGCAGGACATTGACTAGAATAAGAAGTAGTCATTGCAGCCAAGTAAGGAGGTTGCCATTTGCCCTGATATTTTCTTTTAGATAATAAACATACTTTCACTAATGAAAAAGAACAATGAAATACACAGGAAAAGTTGTTCACCTAACTATACTACTCAACTACAAACGCAAACCAGAGTTAAACATCATAATATTACATGACAGCAGACAAAGCATGAACTAAATAAATACAGCAGCACTCCAATCATAAAATATATCCTAGAACTAACTATCCTTAAACTCTGAGGATATCGACACCCAAAGGGGAGCCCAAAAACAAACTCTATCACACACAAAAGATCCAGCTCCTCATCGCCTGCTCCTTCAAATACCCTTCTATCCCTTCCATCCACACTGCCACCAAAAAGAATGCCATCCCAACACAACTACCTAAGGAACTATATCTTACAAATCAATAAGACAATCAGAGAGAAACCTCCAGAACTTTTAAGAAAGTGCGAGAAAAGGTCTGCTTCTGATATGGAGGGCACAAAGCTCAGATACCATAGAAAGCAATATTAGACAGAAAATGCTCAGGGAATGCAAGAGATTTCTCATTCAGAAACACAGCTGCTCTGCAGCTACTAAGTACAGCTGAGGTACTAAGGCAGCTAACTGCCAGCTTAGCCAACAGAATACAACTGTAACTAAAATTAACTCAGCTAATACAATTGAGCAAATCAGGGGTAATAACTGTGCTGTGGAGGCACCCCCTTTACTCTATTTTGGCGAATTCATAGTCAAAATATGCATTGGAGGATGAAAACATTTATAGGTACGAAACAGTAGCACATTCGTTGTGGCTAAGTATCTGATCCTCGTAAATTTTGTAATTTTCTTAAAGCCGGATTTATAAAAGAAGAATTATTGAATCAATGTATACAAAAATTCTAAAATGCTAGTGCTTCTAACAGACTCAATTTAATCATCAAAAACATAAATTTAAAAACTAGGAAAACAAATTTAATTTAATCATGAAATCGATCATCAAGATCAAAATTTACGAATAAAACAAATTTAATTAAATCACCAAAGCGAACATCAAGATCCGTAAACCATACCAAACACACTCCGATCATAAGCCGATAAACAAACAATTCCAGGGGTAAAAAAAGATTGTTGCTTTTTTTTTTTACTGCTAAATTGCAATGTCCAAGTAGTGAAAGCACAGGGTACAACTAGTTCAAAAGCAAGGTGCTGGAAAATCAACTCACAGAGATGACGAGGAGCGCCCGGAGAGGACTACCCCTGCGAGTCCAGAGGAGAACGTTCCGCCCAGAGTTTCTAGAAGCTTCGCGAAGCAGCGGACAGTTCTCGGCAAGAGAGTTTTTGATCCGGCGGAACAGCGGAGCAGCAGCGCCGGCACTGGTGGAGCCGGGGAAGAAAATAGCATCAATCAGACGGTGGAAAACGCCGAAGAGAGTCTCCTCCCGGTGGGTCTCTTTGGTGTTGATCTCGCCGTCGTCGGCGATGTCGACGTCGACTGCGCCGTTGGTTCCGTACGGCTCCGCCATTGTCAGTACAGAGGACTGAACTGAAGCAATCTGAGTAAATTGATTTTGGCAATTAGCGGTTTTGGTCGTTGGATTTTTCTTTCTGCTGATGCTCAGCAGGAAGTTGACTGAGGGCGCGTTTTAAGGCCACACGATGGATTTGAAATTAATTTTTTTTATTTTCTTAATTTATAACTTTTTGAAAGGACGAAAGTACACTCTGTCGGGGGTTTAAGGACATTTACCTGACGAGGGCACGCGCGTAATTTCGAGCGGGAAGGCCCATGCAACAGTAACTACGGGCTACATAATGTCGTGGCATCACTAAAGCCAAAGGAAAAAACATCAATCAAAATAAAAGCCAAGGTGGAACGAACCGATTGGTAAGTATCTTTCACTACAATCGATGGGGTTAGGAATGTGTCGGCAAGCTTGCAAATATTAAGGTCTGTTTGGTAACGTTTTCAAAAATCATTTCAGTATAATTTTTTTTCACAAATGAGAACAAGAAACCCATTTGCATTTTTTAAATTTAAGAATGTGTATGGTAATCAACCCCGAATAATCCTCTTTCTAAGCCAAAATTTGTATAGTTTGTTTTGTTATCTTTGAAAACATCCCGTATATTATATAGATTTTACTTCCATTGAATATTTAGGTTAGTGGTGCAACCAGAATTTCACATTTGATGAGTCCTTTCACAAAATTTTATTTAATGGCTCAAGCGTTGTTAATTAGTTAATACAACATTATCTACCCATTTTGACCCACTTCATACTATCATTTCATATTCATTAATAATATATCCATTCATTACAATGATATAATTATTATGAATTTCAAATTTAAAAATGGTTGAAGATTAATTTCATCATCTAGACTATTCAAACTATAAAAAAAATACAAAAAACGTTCATAAATCCCAAAGTTAAACAAAAGAGGAAGAGAGATTTTTTTAACATCATGCGGAAAAAGAAGCTACAAGACAGAGAAATCAAAAGACAAAAGCACAAAAGCCAAAAAGAACTAAAAGCTAGAGAGGCTAACGCTCCCCAACCTGGGCATGCATAGAAAATCCATGCAAGAGAGATGGTTAGGTAGGTGTTGTGTCTAGATTCCAAATCAGGACTGAAGGTCGGCAGGGATTTGTGTGTACTAACTAGTTACACGATGCTGCATTCATATTCTTAGATTTTGCTTTGAATATTACAGAGAATTTTATTCCATTCAAATTTAATTTTTGAAATTTGTGTACGGTATCTACACCCAAGTTTGTCGTTAGTGTGTGTTTGTAACTGTTTATACGTAATATATAAATTTTTGCAATTTGCAACTGTTTATACGTAATATATAAATTTTTGTTTTGTTTTAGACAGTCCGTATATAGGTTGGTTGCTGAGTTAGGATCGAGAATAACTGACTCTGCGATCATTCAAACTTGTTACTTTTGCTTCTGTGGATATGAGACATGCACGTCACTGCCCTTGAAAGGTTGAGTCAATTTTGGTGCTCTGCGGAACTTTATATAGGAATAGCAGGCACAAGATATGCTAGCTGTTAGCATAACGCTGGCCAAGAAACCAGATGGAGGGAAATAACTTGGATGTGAGAAAAGGAGCTTGGACTAAAGAGGAAGATGGTCTTCTGAACAAGTGCATGGAGAATCATGGAGAAGGAAAGTGGCACGAGGTTCCTTACAAAGCAGGTATTCATTCATGTAAAATCTATATAACTCTCGAAAAGAGGGATATATATATATAGATGGTATATATAGCTTAATTAAGCAGTGAAGCCTTGCATTAGCGTTGTTTAGAAGGTCTTGAACTTCTGCATTCACATGCGAGGCTCAACAGCCACTCGTGGTCTTTTTATTTTTTTTTTTTTTTTTTTTTTTTTTTTTTTTAGACAACTCGTGCTCCTATTCCTATATCACCAAATATATTTTTCTCTATCTACATATTTGGCTCAAATGATATCACACGAGAGCCCCCAGCAACACTCAAAAGGTCCAGCACTAATAAAAAAAGCCGAGACTTTAGAAACACACCCAAAGCCCATTTATAACATAACAAAAAAGCTTTTAACTTCTTTTAAATTACAAAATTGTCATTGATTTCTTAAAACAAACCCAACCCAAAAGCCTCATAAAAAAACTCAAAACACTCAATGAGACATCAAAGTAATTTAATAATTAAAATTAAATTCAATAAGGCCAGCTGTCATTTTTGGATTTTTTTGGGTTTGTTTATAGAGATTAAATGATGTAGGGTTTATTTATAGTTTTAATGCTAAAAATGAGTATACGACTAAATATCTCTTTTCGCATTATGTATATATGCAGGCTTAAACAGATGCAGGAAGAGCTGTAGACTAAGGTGGTTGAACTATTTGAAGCCAAATATCAAGAGAGGAGAGTTTACAGAGGATGAAGTAGATCTACTAATTAGGCTTCACAAGCTTTTAGGAAACAGGTACCAATAAATAAGTCTCTTTCCTAACCATCAAGCTCCACATGCGCATCGTCATTATGAACCTGTTCTTGTCCTTCATTAATTGAGCTCAAGATATGGTTTCTTATTATTAATTTTTCGTTCCTACATGCTTTATTATTCCGTTCATCACATAACATATATATATATATATTATGCTTTTGTAGTTGGCTAAACAAACTCATACTCATGTTAAAAAAAAACGAAAATACACACAAATGCCAACATATACATCCCGTGCTTTGTTTTATATGTATGCCACAATTGTTACCACAACCTACCCTACCACTATAGTCACTACTACTCCACTACTATCACCTTGTCATGGTCAACACTAACACTAGCCTCCAATTCCTTCGCAATTAGGTCGAAGTTAGGGTTGGGCATTCAAACCGATAACCTGGTCAAACTGCCTAAACCAACCGATGGTTTTGATTGGTTTGGTTTCTTTTTAATATTTTTTTGGTCATCGGTTTGAACCCAAACCAAACCGAAATATATGATTCGGTGTGCGGTTTGCAATATTCAAAACTCCAATTTAACCAAACCAAACCAATGGTATTAAAAAAATATTTTATATAATATTAGTATAAGAAATATATATATATACACATAATACATAGTTTCAATATTTTCTTTTTCTTCTCTCTCCATTTCTCCGTTTGTATTGTCTCTATCAGTTCCTCTCTCTATATTTTTTTTCTCCTTCTTCTTACGTATGTCTTCACTCCCTCTTTTTTTTTCCTTCTTCTTCTTCTCCATCTCTCTCTCTCTCTCTCTCTCTCTCTCTCTCTCTAAGAAAGCCAGAAAAACCCAAACCGAATCAAACCAACCCAACAAGTCCTGTTAATCGAAGTGATCAGTTTTCATCAATTATGGTTTGGTTTCGGTTTCCAAAATAGTCAAACTGAGGCCTACGATTCGGTGTTCAAGTTGAACCCAAAACTGAACCAACCCAGACCGAACCCACCCCTAATCGGAGCAAGCCGTGGGTGAAATATTTAGTAGCCCATGAAAACCGACTCGAACCAAGTGACTTAACCTGTAACCTGTATTTCCAACACTAAACCACTGAATAACAGTGCTTGGTGTGCTCTAACTCAATGACATAAATATTTATAATTTTACATTCAACCTAAATTTAAAATAAATAAAAATAACACCTTTCGATCTCTATCAGTATGTCTCACTCTCAGCCGCCAACTCTTCATCTTCAACCAAAAAAAATTTCCTCTTCTTCTCAATGCCAACCCCTTCTTCTCAAACTCCAGCATCTTCTACTCACCCCACGATCTTCATCTTCTTCTCAATGCCAACATCTTCTCAGACCAAGCTTTATTTTTCATGTGGAAAGTGGGATTACCCGGCGAACCGACCTGTCGGTTAACCACCTTGGTCGTTTCCCCACCTCATGGTTTGGTGCTCAATTCCTATTTTCGGCAAGCTGATAGCTTCGGCTCAGTGCTCTGGTAGAGCTCAAAATTGACCCAACCCAAGCAGTGCCCAACCCTAACTAAAACATCTAAATTTTTTCATTTTGACACAAAACCTTGGTTTTGGAGATTACACTGAAGGCACCAAGCAGTTTACATATATTTGTTTTCTCACAAACCCCTTCCTTTAATTTTCGGTCCAAAAATGGCTAATGTAAGATTAGATTGTACATACACCCCCGAGGTCTAATTTTTAAAGTTCATTTTGTCTTTTGAAGAAGTTTAATGACATCAACAATTGATGGATGCAAAATTAACAAAAGGGGTTTTACGAAAACAAATTGAAATCTCAATCAGTGTTTGTGTAATTTCAAAAAACTTGGGAGCTTATTTGAAAATTGTAGGGGATGTTAGTGTAATTAAGTTAACATTTAATTTCAATCATTTTTCCTATTATGTGCTTATTTCAAGAAAAATGCACATCCGCCCTAGATCTATCTCGCAATGTAGTTCAATGACTGGAGCCGTTTGGTTTTGGTTATCCTTCAAAGGTCATCCATGCACAAAGTTATTCAGATGGAAATATGTTGAGTCATCTAAAATGTGTAAAAAACACAGTTAATTACATAAAATGAAATTTAAAATGTTGATAATCGGTGACTATAATATCCAATTTAGCTTATTTTTGCCACACAAACCGTTAAGGATAACCTCGAAATTGAATGATTCCTCTCTTCAAAAAGGGAATATTCTAAAGTACTCTAATTTATAAGGATGAAATCGAACCTTAGATCTCGGGTGCAAAGATAAATGTTTTTAATCACTTGAGCTATAAGCCATTTTCACACACCACCTTTTATTAATAATGATATATCAATGCACAAAATAAGTTATATGGCTCAAATAAAGTAAAATTATGAGCTTTTTTCTAATTGTTTTTTGTACCTCTATCAATGATTCCTTGATTCTTGAAAACTAAGCATGACATTCCTCTTCTTTACTGAAAAGGAGTGATTTACCCCATGAACTTGTATTTTAAAAAAATTGAAGAAAAAAGAGTACCATCCTCCACCCCCATAGACCTTTCCCCAAAACCACCCCCTTGTGTATTTTTCATACCCCGAACCCAGCCCACCCCCCCTCTCCTCCGGGTTTTTCTTCTCCTCCTATTCCCCCATGACCACCACCCTCCACTCCCAGGCCAATCCCTCACCCCCACAGACCCCTCCCCTCCCCTTTCTGTTTTTTAACCCCCGAGCCCAGCCCCCCCTTGGTTTTTCTTCTCCTCCCATTCCCCATATGACCATCACCCTCTACCCTCAGACCAATCCTCCATCCCCAGATCAATCCCCCACCCCACAGATCCCTCCCCCCTCCTCCCCATTCCTTTTGTTCTCTCCTGAGCCGAGACCCATGCCCCAGCTCCAGACCCAAACCCTTTCCATCCCCCAGCCCTTGCCTCCAAACCCAAAGCCATCCCTCCCTTCCTCCCCGGCGGCGGCAACAGATCCCTGCTCCCGCCCCCCCACCCACAGAACCCAGGCTGCACCTGCAAGAGAGGAGCAGAAAATAGAGAGCAAAACTGGAGAAATACTCCACAATTTTTCACAAAAAAACCACCTAATTTCGTCAACATTTACGAATTGGCGCCAAACTTTTCCCGCTTTCGCTCTCAAATTGATCTAAATGAGCCGTTTAGGGTTTAAGTCCGTGGTCTTCCACGACAACTTGTGTTGGGGAGAACTGGATGCTATTCTGGTGAAGGACCAGAAGTTCCAGTTCCCAAACAATGAGATTCGAATCCACCGCATATCGCAACAAAGTGAACAATGCCCTCCTCTCTCAATTCTCCAAATGATTTCATCATTTTCGGTTCGATGCAAGCTCGAATCTACCTCCCCTGTTGAACATCCCCATTTGATCAATCTTCATGCATGCTGCTTCTACGAGTTCAAGGTCCCACTCAATTGCTTCGCTTTCTGATTTTTCGCCTTTTGTTTATGTGTTGAGGTGGTCATTGATTGCTGGAAGACTTCCAGGAAGGACATCGAACGGTGTGAAAAATTATTGGAACACCCGACTGCGGACGAATTCTCTCGTGAAAAGGACTACGAAAGAAAAATTCCAAGAAACAATAAAGCCCATCGTAATAAGGCCTCAACCGCGAAGTTTCACTAAAAGTTCAAATTGTTTGAGTTTTAAAGAACCAATTTTGGACCATACTCAACTAGAAAAGAATTTTAGTACGCCATCACAAACATCAACATCAACATCAACAAGGATTGGAAGTGATTGGTGGGAGACCTTTTTAGATGACAAGGATGATGCTACTGAAAGAGCTACAGGTTCTGGTTGCGGGTTAGATGAAGAACTGCTCTCAAGTTTTTGGGTTGATGATGATATGCCACAATCGGCAAGAACATGCATCAATTTTTCTGGAGAAGAACTGAGTATAAGTGATTTCGCTTTTAACTTGGACCTTTGGAATCATTCAAAAGAAGAATAAAGTAGTTCTTAAGTAAGTCTTCCTAGTAGCAATTATTAGCAACTGTTTTTGATTTGTCTATTATTGTTCAACTCTTTGTAATGTCGCTCCATCGTCCCTTTTCCTCGTCTTCATGTTTGATGACTACTTTGCATTGTAACATCTAGCTTGTGTAATACTAGTTTTTATTTGTTGGTGTTTCTTTTAGTACATTTAGAGATTTCAAACCTCTGCCCACATAACATGAGTGGTGGTGGAAGAACTAAACCAACTGTGCTATATCCCACTGACTATTTTATGGGTGTTAATTTAATATTACTGTATGATTATAAAAAATAATGATAAATTCGTCCAAAAAAGAAATTAAAGATAAATATGAAAGCTCCACAACTTACTGTACATAAGTAAAATCATTACCAATTAAAATGTTGACACAAAATTCAACATACAACTTCTCTCTCCACTATGAGAGTCTACCTCTCCTCTTTTGAAAGTCTTTCAATATCTCTTTTGTAAATAAGTTCTGCTAAGTTTTATTCAAAAACATACTTGAAGGAAGTTGAGGTTCCACGGTCACACGTGCTCTAATACCTTTTGAAATTGTTGAAACAAACATCTATATAAATATAATTGCAAAAAAATATTTACGAAACTTTGTATGGAAGCGCGTACAAGGAGGCTAGTCATATTATTATTAGTTAACATTTTTATCATTAATAACTAATTGTTCTTTATAAATTTTAATTTTAATTTTTTTTTAAAAGGCTAATTTATTGTGACCCGTTTCTTATTATTTTCTCTTTCAATGACAAGACGACAACATGTCAACCTATACATACATACGTGCTTCCTTTTTTTCTGTGTGGTTGTGGAAGTAGCCAAGTCAAACTTAAAGCATGTTCATTGTATTGGAACAAGTAGCAATATGCATTGTCTTGTTATCTTTGGTTGCTATATTCTGTCTATATCTTCATTTTGACAAAGTGAATGACAAATCCTAAACAAAGAAATGGAGAGATGCAGGGTAATGCATAAGAAGAATATTGTAGTCAAGGGCCTGCAGCACAAGAAGTAGGGACATCGATGAACAACCTTGCTGCAAGTTTAATTCACACATCTTTTTAGACAAATTTTTTTATATGAATTTATTTAAGCCATTCAATGTTTTTCTATTGCTACAATTTTAACATTATGATGATGATGGATTTGTGAAAAAGTATTAATTACTTATTCAATTTGAAGGATGGTTTATGAATCTACTATTGTTGTGATCTCTATTTCTTTGTTGGAATTTCTTCAATACATAATTATGTTTTTCAAAGTAGGTTATATTTGGTGCTAGAAAATAATTGTTATATTTTGTTTGAAATTTGAATTTGAATTTTATTTTTCTTTAAGCAAAGATTAATATAATTTTTTAGGGAGAAAAGTATAAAAGCACTTTAAAGTATTTTTTTTACCAAACAGATTAGTAAAAAGGACTTTCAACATATGTCCATTTTAGTTATTATAAACAATTACAACGCTTTTAGAGAATTTACAAAACGCTCTAACACTGCTTTATACTCATAACACTTTTAAAATTACAGTTTACCAAATGTTTAAATGCTTTACTTTACAGTTGTTTCTTCTTAAAGCACAACATAAGCATTTTTATTTTTATTTTTTTAAAGTGACAACAATCCCAAATTAGGCCTAACTGATATGATAAGGGCTTTTTATTGCATATTTGTTATCTCTAATCTATAGTTGTTAGTGCCTTAGTTTATTCTATTTGAACTAATTAGATTATTTTTCACAAAATGTGAAGTAAATAAAAAGTTTCCTAAAAATTGAATTACAAAGCCAAAATTGGCTCAGGTGCAAACTAATTAATATGTTGTCCATGTTGTCTTTGCAATTATCAAAGAAAGGAATTGCTTGGGGACTTAAAACTGAAGAAGCAAATAAATCTTTCCGGAGCACTTAATCGGTTTCCAGTGAAAATATGACTTTTTAGTGGAATTTATATGCATGGCCAATTGGAGAGTGAAGCTAAGAGCTTGAAGATACCTCTGTAATTCTTATAGAATTTTTGGAGCAGCCAATCAAATCAGTATTTCAAGACAAAGCAGCTTAAGGTGAAATTCGGAAGAATCTGGATTATTGGACCAAAAATGATATTTGAAGGTCTTTCCGATTTTTCCTTGAGATGGGATATATATGGTTGGAAAGATAACACATAGAGCTTCAAGTTTCATATTTAGCAGAATTTATTGAGAGGAAGAACGAGCCCAAAACATGCCTACAAACAGAGCACAGTGCATTCACTGTCAAACCAGGCCAGCAGCTGTGCAGTCAAGGAATATCAATAGTTTCGATGGATTTTATTGAGAATTGGCAAGAGGGCCTTAGTCATTGGAAAGATCATTTTCGGGGTTTCAATTTATGTGGTCAAAGTCTTCATTCGGAGTTGGGAAGCCCAAGTTGTGATGCTCACAAAGTTGCTTGGTGATGCATGAGCTATGCATGCTTTATGCTTGTTAAAGGATGATTTGATTCATCCATTTCCCCTTGAAGTGCTGCACCAAGAAGAATAAAGAATGAGAAATGGCATTGTGGGTTAGGTATTTCAGTTAAAAAAAGATTAGTGGCTTGTTGTTGTTGAGAATGTTGGCCTATAAATAGAGAAGTTCCCCAAGCTTTCAAAAAAATGAGCCATACATAGAAAAAAGCCATACACCAAATAGAGTTAGAATAGAGAAGAGACCCTAGGGAGCCGAGAGGCAAGGATCCAGGGGCATCTACCATTTTAGTTTTTCTTCTTTTAGTTTTCGTGTTGTCTTTAGTTTTATCTAGTTTGTAGGGAGAGGAAAAATGATAATATAATTGGAGAGAACCCTGGGGAGCCGTGAGGCAAGGAACCAAGGGGTTGATGATGCAATTTTTCCTTCACTTCTTTGTTTTTCGTTTTTATCTTGTATTTAGTTTGCTATTTTATTTATGTTTAGTTAAATTATGTTAATGATGAAATACCATTTTAAAATAAAGTTCTCGTTTTTATCTTTCAATTCCCAACTATTATATTCTTCAATGTTTATAATTTCGGTTTCACATGATTAATAGGTTAATTTTCTTTTCACCGCTTCTATCATGTATTTGTGGTTGTTAAGAATTTAAGTTAAGTTATTAATGCATCCTTGGTTTTGTATTACTAATATAAAAATTTCTTTGATCCCTCTTGTGGTTAAATAATCTTTTTCACATAGCATATGCTTAGAATTTGTACTTAGGAAGGGAAGGGGATTTACATAAGATTCATTAAAATGCACGCTTAATTGATATATCTTGAGAAAGCAGTAGATTCATTTCTAAATTGCTACTCCATGGGAATTGTTAGATAATTAATTAGAGTTTTATGGAATAATGGAGTGGAATCTAAAACCTTAGTTATTTTCCCTATTTTAGTTATTTGCAATTTCAATTTTATGCTTTATTTCATTTTCTTTTTCAACAATCAAATCAACTTTGAATCTACTAGGATAGCAATTAAATTAACTTGGGTTGGATGAGTTTTCCATCTTTTTCACACACTCCCTATGGGAATGACCTCTCACATACGCACGCCTATTCTACAGTTGATTCGTGTGCTTGGGAGTATTATAAATTTAAACAACACCTCCGAGTGGACAAACATGATACATGTGATTGAGGCGCTTTGAAATGGATGTGGGAGCGTTCGCACTTGTAATAAGTTTTGTTTGGTTTTTTTGTTTTGTTTGTTACAATATGTATCGAGTTGCTGTTTGGCATAAAAGAAAGCTTCAATAACATAGAAACTCTCACACATACTGCCAAGGTACCATAAATGTTCAAATATGAGACCATTACTAGTGAACTTTCCATCAATGCCCCTCAATGGACAGATATCTTGTTTTAGATTTTTGGATATTATCTTTTTATTTTTGTAAACGTATTGTTTTCATCTTTCAACTTATTCCTTTTTTTTAATTAGGGGTCCTCTTGAAAAGAGAGCAAAAAGAGAAGAAAAAAAAACCCGTTGGCAGTATCCTTCTTCTCCCCTCCCATCCTTTTCCCCCTTCCTCCTCTTCTTCTACTCGCCCCTTCCCTCCCCTCCCTCTTTGCTTTGTTGGTTTGGTTTTGTGTTTTTGATTTGCATATAGGAGTTTTTAGATCTACTTTGGATCTATGTGGTTCGTCTCTCCTTGGAGTTTGCCGAAAATGACTGGTGTTTTGACATATCTAATGCCATGCATACTCTATAAGCTCCATTGGTGGTCGTCGACAGGTTGCGGTTGTGTGTGCTCGATGTTAGTTTGTGGCTATGATGGAATGTGAGGAATGAAGTACTTTTTGGTTTTGAACCAATGCCCTGCCAAGAGAAGTCATATCTATGCAAAGAACTATATAATGTTGAATTTCAACACTCCTATTTGCTTCATCATAGGAAGCCATCTTTGTCAATTCATGAATGGCGTTAGCAATGGTACCTGTTATAGGATGGTTATTTTAAATTGTTATTGATGGTGTGATGGATTTGTTTGTGTAAGTTTGACTCTTTTGTTAGTCGAAAGTATGGTTGGTAATATTTCCTCCCCTGAGTTTTGTCTTGCGTGGTTTCCTCCAACAGTTTTAACGAGGAACTTAGTTCTCTTCTTTTGTTGTGTGCAAACACTGCAAGACCTTGTCATTTATAGACTACGCAACGACATATACACAAACGCCTTTGAGAATAAAACGCACACACCACGAAGAGAATAAAGCAAACATACAAGAACACGAAGATTTATAGAGGTTCGGACTCGTGCCTACGTCCTTTTGGTGATTCACCCGAGAAATTCACTAGTATGTAAGAACAACTTTGGTAACAATCTTGAACCCCCTCAGCTCTCCTAAGAACTCTAGTTCTATTTTCTCTCACCCTTGCTCAAACCTTTGATGCTCTTGTAAACACCCTAGAATTTCATCTTGAATTCTCTTATGCCTCTCTCTTAAAATTAACCTAACCTTAAAAGTCCTATTTATATGCATAGGCCTTTAGCTACAAGCTAAACTTAGGCAACCCGGACCTGTTGTATAAAAAAGAGATCCCCTATGCCGAACTCCTTCCATCTCTTGGGATGGTTAGATGGATTCCTTGGGCCCGAACCTTGCTTGTGATGAAGGCTCTACATCAAGTAGAACCCCTTTATGAGTTTGTTGTTGATCCCCATATTCTTCAACCCTTGTGTCAAGCTCCACCCATCTTGGAGTCCATTCTATAACCACCTTGGTAAGAAGTATCTCTTTTGTTGCCATTGACCCAATAACACTCTCCCCATCATCCCTTGTCTTGACTTCACTCTTGTAGATCTTGTCCTCTGACACCACCACTTTTACACCTTTGAAATCAAGCACTCTTGATGATAAATTGTTAATCATACAACCTTGACTAACCTCTATTGCCCAACTAGACTTAAGAAAATCTATAGCTTCATTCTGTTGTGCCGGCCTTAACAATGAGATTGCTTGCCTACTTTTCCTTGGTACAGAGTGCCTCCTTAGTAGAATTTTCTGCTCCACTTAGAATTGTAACCCCCAAAAGTTGATAAACTTTGTTAGGTTGAATCTTCCCCCTCATAACCACAACCGAACCTTTTGTGACTAAGAGTTTCTCTTCTTTGGCCTTGTACGAATACCATTGAATTTAGGATTCCTTCCATTGCCTTTCTTGCCTTTATGCTTGCTTGAACAACCCCACTCTCCGGTCCTTGTTACTACACCCTCACCTTGAGAGCTATCCTTAGAACTTTGAGCCAATCTGTAATGCGTTAAGTCTTGTACTACCTCCTCTAAATTGAGAGTACTCGTGTCGATCATCAGAATCGTCCGAAAGTGTTAATAGGATAGAGGTAAAGATGCCAACAACATCAGCGCCGCATCCTCTGTGCTATAAACCACATCCACCTTCTGCAAGTCCACAATACACCTATTAAAAGTGCTAAGATTCTCCATATGATTTCCACCCTCCTCCATCCGAATATTTAGGAGCTCTTCCTTCATGAAGCATTTGTTAGATAGCGATCTCGCCACAAGCATCCGTTTGAGCTTTTCCAATGTGTGCTTTACGGTGTCATCCATCACCTTGATGGACCCCATAGCCAACTCGTCGGGCATGTCCCCCTTCTTCATTGTCATGATTTCCGGCCTTTTTGCCTCGCCTACCAAGATAATGGTTAGACCTTGCTGGGCTATAGCATGATTCATGCTCCTTTGCAATAGCTTAAAGTTCTCCTTTCTTGTGAATGTCTTCACCTCGAGCTTCATGCTAGCCGCTTGTGGTTTCTTTGTTTGGGAGCTTTCTCGCATAGCCTTCTTGTCGCCTGACATTGTCAACACACCGCCACTCTTAAAATCGTAAGAGCACTTGGGCATAAACTAATACCCGCCGCAACCGCCACTCTGATACCACTTGTAAAGCAAACCCCTTTAAGAATAAAGCACACATATCATGAAGAGAGTAAAGCAAACACACAAGAACACAAAGATTTATAGGCCTCGTGCGCCTTTTGGTGAGTCACTTGAGAAATTCACTAATATGTAAGAACAACTTTTGTTACAATTTTGAATCCCCTTACCTCTCACAAGAACCCTAACTCTATTTTCTCTCACCCTTGCTCAAACCCTTGATGCCCTTGTAAATACCCTAGAATTTCCTCTTGAATTCTCTTGTGTGTCTCTCTTACAATTAACCTAGCCCTAAAAGTCCTATTATTTATAATTCATAAGACTTTAGCTACAAGTTAAATAGGAATAGGAAACTAAAACTCTATTAAATTAGGGTAGAAAACCCCAAAATAATAGGAAACCTAGTCAAAACACGCCGAAAAGTTGATCACACGCGCATCATTCCTGGCGACCAGTCGCCTTGAGGCAGAATGCCAACTAGATCGAGCTCTCTGCTAAAATTGATGTTGATAAGAACATTTTTATGTCAATTCATTATCCCTAATCTTTATTTATTAGTACCTTAGTTTATTTTATTTTAACTAATTAGTTATTTTTCACAAATTGTGAAGTGAATAAAAAGTTTACTAAAAATTGAATTACAAAGCGAAAATTGTCAAAGATGCTAATTAATATGTTCTCCATGCCGTAAGGAATCGGACATTGTGTGAATTAATGCATCTTGGACAGCACATGGCAGCTGCAAAACTTGCACACGGTCAACCTCCCAAAAGAAGAAAATACAGCCAACATCTTGGAGGTGACGCACATGAGATGAATTCACTTAATTCAAATTGAATAATGGAAAGAAGCAAAAGAGTGAAAAAGTCTGGCGGCACATTGGAGTGAAGAAGGAAAAGAAAGAATATTACCTGACTTGTGCTTGCGTGGTTGAGCTTCGGACTGCAGCTCATGATGTCCATTTCTTTACAGCTACTAAAATTCAATGCTTACAGTACCTCAATTCCTATCAATAGAGAGACCAACAATGCTTACAGTACCTCAATTCCTATAAATAGAGAGACCAACAATGTAGAAAGACCACGCCTTACGGCAAAGAGAGCAAAGAGAGAGAAGGAGAAAACCGAGAGCTATTTTGGCTTTCTTGCAGTTGTTCCTCACCTCTCTTAGTTCTCATTTATTTTCATGTATTTTAATTTCTTTGTTTTGTTTTTACTTTCAATTATGTTTAACTAAAATCCTTGACTAAGGTTGAGGCGGAAACACCACTATGAAATGAAGTTCTAGTTTTATCTTTCAATTTCCTACTATTTTGTGTTTCAATGTTTATAATTTTTCACCTTCACATGATTAATATGTTAATTTTCGTTTCACCACTTCTATCATGTATTTGTGGTAGTTAAGAATTTAAGTTAATGTATTAATGCATCCTTGGTTTTATATTCTTAGCATACACACTTCTTTGATCTCTTGTGATTCAAACAATCTTTTTCATATAGGATGCTTAGGAAAACTTTGATCCCTTGTAGTTAAATAATTTTGTTTACATGTGATGCTTAGAATTTGTACGTTCGAAGGGAAGTAAAATTTACATAAGATTCATTAAAATGCATGCTTAATTGATATATCTTGAGAAAGCAGTAGATTGATTTCTAGATTGCTACTCCATGGGAATTGTTAGATAATTAATTAGAGTTTTATGGAATAATGGTGTGGAATCTAAAACTTTAGTTATTTTTCTAATTCATTTAAAACCTTCACTACTACAAAAATCGAAATAGACGACGGGAAACCACCGTCGTGTAAAAGGTTTTCGCCCGGTCGTGAAATCGACTGCCGTCTATTTGGGTTTCAAACTACGACGGCTTTTCACCGTCGTTGTTTATCAGTAAAGATGACGGTTTTTAAAGAAAATCGTCGTTGTTTAGAGGTAAAGATCATTAATTATAGGAGGAAAGACGACTGTTTTTAATAAAACCGTCGTGTATTGTATGTAAAGATGACGATTTTTTTATGAAAACCGTCGTGGATTGTTTATAAAGACGTCATCTTTACATACAATAGACGACCTTTTTTTATAAAAAGCGTCATCTTTACATACAATCGACGACGGTTTTTTATAAAAAGCGTCATCTTTACGTACAATAGACGACGATTTTTTTATAAAAAGCGTCATCTTTACGTACAATAGACGACGTTTTTTTTATTATAAAAAGCGTCCTCTTTACGTACAATAGACGACGGTTTTTTTTATAAAAAGCGTCATCTTTACGTATAATAGACGACGGTTTTATAAAAAGCGTCATCTTTACATACAATAGACGACGGTTTTTTATAAAAAGCGTCCTCTTTACGTACAATAGACGACGGTTTTTTATAAAAAGCGTCATCTTTACGTACAATAGACGACGGTTTTTTTATAAAAAGCGTCATCTTTACGTATAATAGACGACGGTTTTATAAAAAGCGTCATCTTTACATACAATAGACGACGGTTTTTATAAAAAGCGTCCTCTTTACATACAATAGACGACGGTTTTTATAAAAAAAGCGTCATCTTTACGTACAATAATGCTTTTTGATTTCCTATGATGCTATACAACGATTTTAACTAGAAAACCAACCATAATGCTTTATCAAAAATAGTTTCTTTCATAAAACTTGAAGATTCAATAGTTATTACATAGTTAACCAATCTTTATTCTACAACAAACATAATTCCTAACAAGACCTACGTACTCCTAATCCAAGCATTCCTCATCCAAACATACAAATGATGCACAACTGAAGTCTCCTCCATCATCCCTGTAAATAAATCAAAATGACAAAGAGAGAAAAAAAAAAAGCTAAGATTATAAACATAAAAAATTAGGTGGAAGAGAAATTTTACCATTGGTCCATATTTCCATAGAAAACTTGTAAAATGAGCATAAAAAAGACCATCGAGAACCTGCAAATTTTCAACAACAAAAAAACATACGACTCACATAGAAAACCTGCAAAAGAAAAGTTATAAATCTGCAAGCTTCCTCCTCATCTCCTGATAACCAAATCAGAAAATCTAAAAAGAAACCAGAAAAAAAAATATGTAAACAAATCAGACAAATCAAGAAAGACAAAATCTGAAATTAGGGATACAAAGAACATACCAAAAACGCAAAGAGACTAATCCAGAATTCACTAGCAAGATATAGAAGGGTATTAAGAGATTAGGTGACTTTCAAATCAACCTTTCAACCAGCTTTGATTCTCAAATACAGAACATCCCTCTACATCTTATGGATTTGCTAAGACCTCAATCTCTCAACTCCTTCATTGATATCGATCTTTTGATGATTTTGTAGAGAGTTTTATGAGGGTGTTTTAGAGAGTGCATGAGGGTTTCAAGGAGGGAGAGATAAGGTTTTCAGAGACGGGGGAAAATCTGAAAATTTGACAAGCGCGAATTCACTTAAGTAGACTTTTTTTAGCGTGTTTTAAAAGACGACGCTTGTTAATGAGAGATAAGATTTTCAAAGACGGGTGAAAATTTGAAAATTTATCGAGCGCGAATTCACTTAAGCGGCCATTTTTTAGCGCGTTTTAAAAGACGACGCTTTTTTTTAAAAAAAAATTTGTCATCTTTACATATAATATACGACGGTTTTTTTATAAAAAGCGTCATCTTTACATATAATAGACGACGGTTTTTATAAAAAACGTCATCTTTACATACAATAGACGACGGTTTTTTATAAAAAGCGTCATCTTTACGTACAATAGACGACGGTTTTTATAAAAAGCGTCATCTTTACGTACAATAGACGACGGTTTTTATAAAAAACGTCATCTTTACATACAATAGACGTTTTTTTCCACTACACTTCTTGACCCTATATGAATACAATGACTGAATTTGATCTTCAATTTAAAATATTTACACTAGTGGATACCACAAAATCTTATGTTATATTTAACGAAAGTATAAATAAACTCTTAATTGTTAGTGAATATTTTTTTTTGTGGCATACGCATTTTAAGAAACTAGTTTCAACGATCCAACCGTCAAACTTGTTTGTTTATACTTCGAGATCATCTACACCAAAAATCGAAAAAAATAAACATTCAGAGATAAAGTAACGGGACAAAAAATTTCGACGGTTATAAATGAAAAATCATGATTTAACGGTTATTTTAACTCCGATTTTGATGATTTTTTACCGCTACACTCCTTGACCCAATATGAATACAATGATTGAATTTGATCTTCAATTTAAAATATTTACACTAGTGGATACCACAAAATCTTATGTCATATTTAACGAAAGTATAAATAAACTCTTAATTGTTAGTGAATATATTGTTTTGATGGCATACGCATTCTAAGAAACTAGTTTCAATGATCCAACCATCAAACTTGTTTGTTTATGCTTCGAGATCATATACGCCAAAAATCGGAAAAAATAAACATTCAGAGATCAAGTAACGGGACAAAAAATTTCGACGGTTATAAATGAAAAATCATGATTTAACGGTTATTTTAACTCCGATTTTGATGATTTTTTACCGCTACACTCCTTGACCCTATATGAATACAATGACTGAATTTGATCTTCAATTTAAAATATTTACACTAGTGGATACCACAAAATCTTATGTTATATTTAACGAAAGTATAAATAAACTCTTAATTGTTAGTGAATATATTGTTTTGATGGCATACGCATTCTAAGAAACTAGTTTCAACGATCCAACCGTCAAACTTGTTTGTTTATACTTCGAGATCATCTACACCAAAAATCGAAAAAAATAAACATTCAGAGATAAAGTAACGGGACAAAAAATTTCGACGGTTATAAATGAAAAATCATGATTTAACGGTTATTATAACAAACCATCATCTTTACATATAATAGACGACCATTTTTTATAAAAAAACGTCA